GTTGAGGAGGCATCAACAGGCTGAGATCGAGAAGCAACAGAATACCCTCAACGAGCAGCGACAGGCGATTGAGGTAAGTATGGTGGGAGAGACATCACTCGGCAGTGCTGTTACGATGTTGGGTTCCCTTGAATGCTGTGCTCTTGCCTCTAGCATGGGGCAGTGGGAAGCCTCCGTAGAGGTCTATTGGACGCTGTTGTTCACAGGAGCAGATGGCGCAGCTGAAGCGGCTCGAAGAGGAGAGCAAGACCCGGGCCAGTCAGCAGCAACAACAGCCGGAGAATTCAAATAGCGAGGATGAGCAGGGAGAGGAAGGCACGACCAATGAGTCTCTGCCGCCACCGCCGCCGCTGGCACAACAGCCTCAGCCGTACCAAGCAGTGGGAGGAGCTTGGGTGCCGGGTAGACCTGCTGATCGTGAAGAGTATCTTCAGCAGCAGCAGGCTAAGGGCGGGGTCCCTGTGGTGAACGCTGTGGTGGTGCCACCGGGAAAAGTAGTCGGGCAGCAGCAGCAGCAGACTGGGGTAAGGACTACTCGAATGACAACTCGGCTGATTGAGATGATGCTCGTTATTGTTTTAGGTGGCAGCACCGCTATCCTATGCTGCTGTAGCTAGTGGCGCCTCGAATTCACCACGATCTGGGTATTCGGGGGCTCCGGCAGCAGCAGCAGGGTATTATGGTCAAACGGGATATACCATACCACAGGTAGTAAAGGGCGGAGCGAAGTGATGCATGTTTGTCGATTTTATGGATATTGTATGCTTGTCGAGGCACAAATTCCAATGCCCCCACCAAGGAATCTCCGAGTGCCAATGCCTGAGCTCGCGAGATCGCAGCTGCAACAGCAGTCGGCACCGCAAGAAGGTAGTAACGCTGGATCGCCGCTCTCGATAGGATAACGCTGTGGTCCGATCAGGTGGACAGCAGGAGCAGCAGTACTATGCTCAGCCATCGCCGCCGCCGCCGGCGCAGCAGCAGTGGGTGCCGCAGAGGACACAAAGTGTTCCCAAGATCACCACACCTTCGCCTCCTCCCCGTAAAGTGCCAATTGTAGGGGCGAAGAAGTTGACGAGGAAGAGTAGTGTGACCTCTGAGGTGAGTACTCCTGCATGGTTCGGGAAGTAGTCAGGAAATGGTCATGGTGCTATCATGGCTCTTTTCTCTGCTTTTGTGTGTAGTGACCTGTGGAGATCCTTTTGTTTTAGCGCGCGCCCACTCAAACAGTACAGCCACCACCGCAGCAGCCCACTGGCGCTCCTGCTGCTACTGAGGAGCCGACTAGAGTTCCCGGAATCAGAAGGAAGGTGAGGACACAGATAGCATCGTATTTTGTTGAAGCCTTTGTCGACTTCAGCTGACCGGAAATCTGAGCGCTGCTAAGGGGTGGCCCGGCGCGGGGACCTCGGCGCCGCCTGATTCGTCGGAGTTCAAGTGGCCGCAACAATAGGAAAAAGTTGATCATCTCGCACGGCCTCGTTTTTATAATAGTATGGCTCGATAGACCATCAAGTGTTATAATTGCCGATTTCCCATTCAAGAGAATAGTTTTGTGACGCTGACTGGTTTCGCAGAGCTGGCTAACTGTTGATCGAACCGAACACTTACTACATTGTTTACTCTTGGAGAGGTGCTTGCGTTTAGATGGGACCTTGTGTGGCGTCCTAGCTTTCTTGCTTGAGTCGATACTTTTGCAAAGTACGGTATGGGGAAATATGCACATAATCAACTACATGTGTTGGTGAGAATATGAAAATTCCGAGAAAATTTTTGGGAAAATTTTATTAATTTTTGTACACTTCTGGCCGCATTTGTAACAGAACTTCAGACTGGTATGAGATTTCTCAAGACTAGGGCAGCACCTAGATCGATTGTGCTGAGCTGGGTCCTGAAAATGAGTTTAAAATGTTTCACCCTAGTCGCGCTACTGTTGTGGTCCGCATGTCCAACGAGCTATCATTGAACGACTTGGACGCTCAGTTGGCTGCCTTGGAAGGCTCAGATGATGGTGACAGTAGTAGTAGTAGTAGCAGCGAGGACGAGGTGAGCATAGGGTTGGAGGTTCTGTAGCATGTGGGGTTGCTCAGAAATCTCCGGTGAAAGCGGTTCGGGAAGGAAAGAAAAGGAAACTAAATGATGAAGAGAAGGCTCAGGAAAAGTTGTCGAACAAAGTGTTGCGGAAAAAGATGCGACAAGGCCTTTCGAATTTGTGTTTTTCTTTTTTGACGGGAAAGTGCAAGTTCGAGGAGGGAGGCAAGTCTTGTCTGTTCAGCCACGTGAAGCCGGAAGAGATGACTGCCGGTGATAAGGCTGAGCTTATCCGGGAGCTTCGGCATCGAAAGAAGTTCGATCCGGCCCTCGCTAAGGTTGCGCAGAATCTCAACATTCCCATGTGCCGTATGTACAAGAAGACTGGACAATGCAAACAAGGGGAGAAGTGCAAATTCTGGCACCTGAGGAACGAGCTGGATGCGCGGTGGAAAGGAATGGAATATTGGTGTCAGACCTGTTTCCTTGGTTTCACATCGGAAGACCAGCTGAAGGAGCACAGGAATGGCAAGACGCACAAGGCGAATGCCTCGTGGCAGCAATAGCAGCATCAGGGTTGGTTTTGTAAATATATACGTCCTGACAACACCCACGTTTCGGATTTCAGATGTTGTGTTATCAAGTGATAACGCTCGATAAGCTTTTCATCCAACATCTATAGCGGTTTGGAATAATGTCAATGGCATCCGTAGAGAATAAGTTGGCTCGGGTGAAGACAGTGATTTCAGAGATTGTAGGGGATCGGGCGAATGACTCGGATGACTGTCGGCATTTGCTGGGTATGCTTTCTGAACTTGCAAAAGCGATGAGCATCAGCACTGCTCAAGCCGTGTACCACGAGGCATGGGCTACTATTCATACCGGCTATTACACCAAGGTCCACCATGGATGCCGAGAGGCATTTGCTGTTGCAGCTAGCTGTCTGGCAATACTACAAAAGTCGACATTCTATGCTGATATGGGGATTATGATCGGTGGGCCTTCGACGAGATCCTATGGGCTCCTGCAGGAGGTCTGTCGGGAGATTGCGGAGTTAAGCGTGTCGGTGCATCGTGAGGAAAAGCGAGTGAAGCGGGCTTTCCCAACGGGAGAGGACGAACCGCCAATGCTGAAGTTCCCTGTTGATGAAGTAGATGCATCAGAGATTTCATTCGAGAGGTTTCTCACTGAGTATTACGTCCCTCAAAAACCAGTGAAAATCCGAGGACTGGTTTCGAGATGGCCAGGAGTTCAGTCTTGGAAGGATCCGGATCATTGGACGCACAGCAAATACGGAGACCGCCTGGTCCCAATAGAAGTCGGTGGATATATGAGCTCCACCTACAGTCAGCAACTGATGAAGTTACGGGACTATGTGGAGGAACATCTGTTGAAGCCTGGAAAGGACAATGCTGATAAATCGATCGCATACTTGGCCGAATATGAGATCTTCAATCAAATACGAGAGCTCGAGAACGAGGTGCAGCCAGTACCGGATATATGTCTAAGTGGCGATGAGGGGATCGTCAGGCGCCTGTTGTTTTTCGGACCAGCTGGAACTGCCTCCCAAACTCATCGAGATGCCGACAATAATATGAAATGCATGGTGAGGAGAGCTTCCGAACAATCAGAATACAAGTCTCGATATCATTCCAATATCATTGCCAATGATGGCCATTTCTGTTGTGCTCAGGTCGTCGGTAGCAAGTATGTGCGTTTATTCAGCCCGTCACAGGAGAAGTGTCTTTACCCTCTTCAGCGAGGTATCCTCACTAACAATTCCACTCTGCCGACTGACATCCTCACTGAGCCAATCGACACCGAGAGATATCCCTTATATAAGGAGGCGATATACTCGGAAGCCATTCTGAATGCCGGCGATGCGCTGTTTTTACCGAGTAACTGGTGGCATTTTATTAAAAGCTACGAAGTGACGGCCAGTATTGCACATTTCTTCCGGTAACTGTTATGTTTCTGCTCTATATTCGCCTTTTGTTCTCGATTTAATTCGCTCTTTTGGTATATGTGAGGTATCTGATTCGCAGTCACTGAAGAGGAAATCATGCGTGCTCATGTCCTGCGGCGACGTCTAAGCGACACTATCGCTCACGGACAGCAAACTTTTCAGGGCTCGAACATAAGTTCCTTATTCGAGCTTATAATCTGTGCTTGTGTTGTGAATCGTAATTTGTGATAATACGACTCGCATTATGTGAGGTATCCTCACTGAGGGTCACAAATGTTGTAGTCTGTGTAGTCTATGAAGGAGACAGCTTCGCAGTCGCGCACATGTGTATGCGTGCACCTCATTAG